ACGCACCACCTTATCGACCAGAAAGCCCAGAAAACTCAGAACATTTCGAGCCAGAGATAGAGGAAGAATACGAGCCGGGATATGAGAATGAAGGAAATGGGGCCATCTACCACCGGGAGGCCAAAGCTTTTCCTCAATCACAGATTTCGGAAAATGGAAAAACCGGTCAATTACTCCGATACTTTGGTGGTGATTATTTAACAAGATTACCGACCCATGATAATATAGTTGCAGAAAATGATGAGAGTTTGTCTGCAATTCTCAATAATGCTTTGACTAGACAAGAGGATATCCCTTTTATGGCTGTCGATTTTGAGGGTTCATCAGAAAAAATAGGTGAAAAAAATCATTATATTTTGCATCTTTACGGTTCTCTCATTAACGGTCAAAAAGCAGTAGTTATCCTTACAGGGATTCAGATTTTCTTTGATATACTTGTTTCTGATAAAGAAATCATAGACAAGTTTAAAATAAAAATAGATGCAATTCTCTCTAGTGTTATAAATACCTATAAAATAGAATATATTAAGGCCTTCCCCTTACGCGGTTACTATACAGAAAAAAAGTCATATTTACGAATTTTTACACTCGGTAGTGGGGATAGGAAGAAAGCTATCCAAGCTATCCAAGATAACAATTTCGAAACCGCTTCAGATGATATGTTCTCATTCCACTATAAAGTAGCTAGAGAAAATAGAATTGTGATTTCTGGTTGGTCTATGATAAGCAAGTATAGATACAAGAAACATTCCCATTATGCACACGATTTTCAGGTTTCTATAAATAATTTTCGACCAGTAGAAGATCTAAAAATGATAAGTGACCGTTTTCCGATTTCACCACTCATGAGAGATCGTACGCTTATCCTTACATGGGATATAGAGACACAATCACGAGAGTTGGGCAAATTTGCTAAAATACATGATGAAGAAAATATTGTATTTATGATTTGTATGACCCTATACTGGAAAGACGAACCAAAACTGTTAAAACAAATCTGTCTTGTCAATCTTGAAACTGCACCAGACCCACGTTGGATAACAGTTGTATGTGGGAACCAGACAAATTTACTAAAAGCGTTTGCATTATGCTGGAAGGCCTTCCTCCCCGATA